CCGATTCATTCTGAGCCGCAAGCATGATAAAGACGCGAAGCACGTGCAGCTCATTCCGAGCGAGTTCTTGTTCCTGCGGCGCAGAGAAGGCGGTTTAGGCATCCCAAGTCCGGAGGCGCAGCTCAAGCGACAGCGACTCACACTACTTCTACAATTCATGCAAGCGATGACCGTGACGGGCGAGCGCAGCTAGACCACAGCAAGCGTTGAATTGTTGAAGTCGGTGCTTCCTCTGGACGGTGGCATTCAAGCTCTCGACTTCTTAACAATCTCTCCGCTTCGTCATGCCATTCTGATCAAGCGGAGTCGGACTTCATCATGGTGGCAAGTGACGTGGACGTGGGAGATCACTTGGCGCGACTTGCCTCTGGAAGAGCGTGCAACATACGGTCTTAAACAGCCAATCTGGTTCCATGTAGACACGGAGCTGCATTATGAGATAACGCGACGATCGGCGAAGACTATTTCCCATCGAAGGTATCTCGGCATGATTACTGAACCGCAACGTAGTTTCCGCCAGCATGTATCACTCGTCTTTGGCTTGCGATCACTTGCCGACTTCAGACGAAATGGTGAGGCATGGCCGACTCGACGTGACTTCGTGCAGCGCTACAATTACTACGTGCTAGTGTCGACGGCACCAGATGTGCAGATGAAGTGGCTGAGCTCGCTATATCGAGAGGTAACGCAGATTGTGGAGCGGTTTGACGCGTTACAACTTGTTTATAACACTTCAAGCACCAGCGCTAGTTGTCGGCTTCCGTATGTGGGCTGCACAGGAGGGGTGGGGAAGTGCATAGTCCAGGAAAACCCTCGGACCGCGCTTCTCCAGGTGGTCTTGATGCCTAAGACTTCAACAAAGCAGCACCCGATGCAGATACACTCGCATCGTGTCGACGCTCCACAAATCTAGATTGATGTGCAGCATTGTATGCGCCTGCACAAGATTATGCTAACGATATTCCACGATCGTCAGTTCCGACTCGCCTTCCGACTTCTACCAGTCCGGTTGCGCTTCTGGTTCGCATCTGGGCATTCGCGTTTGCGTTCATGATGGCTGCAACACAATCGAGTCTGAATAGCATAATCTCTTCGACTGCTTACTCGTGTCACAGCTATGGAGCGAGGTCTCGTGACTCGTTGCTCCGCGGCCAACGTGGCTTGACATCGCGATGGGGCGAAAGTTGCGAATGCGCGACGACTGGGAAGCTAGCAAAGTTATTGTCGGTGATGTGTGGCACGTTCTCCGCGCGGTGACACTTCAATTTCTTTGATCAGACCGCAATCGGTGCTTATTTGACGGGAGACAACCGACTCCTGCTGCATCAGCGCTTGGAATGATT